GGCCTGTGCGTAAATCATGTCTCGGGTCTTGTGTCGCTTGTTGACGACCAGCTGTCGCCGAGTGGCGGCGGTGCGCAAGTGCAGGGCCATGTCGACCGGGACGCCGAGGCCGCCTGCGTCGGACGAGCGACCCGTGTTCCCGGGCACTCAGGCCCCGTGGACGGAGACGTTGCAATTCACCGAGGCGGATCTCAAGTCCGGGATCCCAGTCTACCACGTGATGGATAAAATGGGCAACGTGATTGACCCGTCGCAAGACCCGAATCTCGGGGAAGACGCTCTCGTCAAGATGTACAAGACCATGACGCTGTTGAACACCATGGACCGTGTTTTGTACGAGTCTCAAAGGTGTGGGGAAAAAACAAAACGCTTTATTTATTTTTTAATACTGTACTGTACCGTAGTAATGCATAGTTGATCAACTCGTTCATCTGCCATTTTTGTGTTTAAAAAAAAAAAGAAAAGACTGCTTTTTTCTTTTGTCAAGGAATTATTTTTCTTCCTGAGCAATAATTGTTCAACATCTCAATCGTTCGCCGTTTCAATATCTTTTCCGAGAACATTTTTTAGACCTGGAAATGAAGGAAAAAACGCGCATAAGTTGCCTCCGAAATTTTGAATTCGCTGCTGTCCAAAAACTTGATGAATATCGAACGCTGCAAAAATCAATCATCGGTGTAGGAAACGTGTCAAACTTGATTTTGCCATAAACTCGAACGGAATATCGTTGTAGATTGCTGCCCTGACCTTGAATTGCAAAGCTGAACGTATGTTAAAAAGAAAATCAGCGTTTATGATCGTGTTTTATTCAAAGTTAATTTTTTTTCTTCTTTCGTTTCTGAATTGAGTGAAAGCTCGTTTTGTTTGATCATTGTGTTCCAGGCAAGGACGAATCTCGTTTTATATGACCAATTATGGCGAAGAAGGGACTCATATTGGCTCAGCAGCTGCCTTGGATGCCGGTGATCTAATTTTTGGACAATACAGAGAAGCTGGCGTTTTGCTTTGGCGTGGTTTTTCACTGGATCAATTCATGAATCAGGTCAAAATTATATTGATGCAACGTTTTTATGCGGGCCAGAAAAAAAAAAATTCGGTCTATTTTAAACATTAACATTAAATACTGTATGTTCAAAATAGGTTTGTACAGTATTCATAATATCTGTACATACTCCAGTTGAAATAATCAAATTTAGTTCGAATGAAAGTTGGTATTTATATTTTGAATGAATGAATGAACAGAACACTTTATTTGCCGCTTTTCAGCATTCACAAGGTTCAATCAAGATTTCCACAACGAAAACCCCTTCCCGCCCAACCCAAATCCACTCCATGACATTTAATCACTTCAGAGCATATATGTAAAAATATATTTAAAGCACAAGGTCTTCAGCTTGTTTCTGTATGAGGTTTTGTTGAATGAATAGTTTGAAAAGAGAACAATCGCAAAAGGGAAGAATATTGCCTTCAAATTCTCTCAAAAGAATGTGATTGTTGGACAGTTGAGTTTTGTTTTCTTTAAAGTTTTGACTTTGCAGCAATTGAACCTTCATTTTTTAATATTTTTTATTTCTTCAATTGGCTATTTTGCCGTAAGAAAAGTTCTTAGTGGCAGGTTTCTCTTTTTGTGGAATTAATTTTTGAGAGAGTTTGCGAGAAATTTTTCTGGATGAGATGGGAGATGATGAGTAATTTTTTTTGACAACGTGTTAAAAAAGTTTAAATATTAATCGACTTGTGAATTTTCCTAATGGTGTTTTTTGTTTTTCTCCCAAATAGTGTTACGGAAACGTGGAAGATGTCGGCAAGGGGAAACAGATGCCGGTTCATTACGGATCCAGTGACTTGAATTTCGTGACGATTTCGTCTCCGTTGGCGACGCAAATGCCTCAGGCGTCCGGGGCCGCGTACGCCTACAAGCGGGCCCAAAACGGGAAAGTGGTGGTGTGCTATTTTGGGGACGGGGCTGCCAGCGAGGGCGACGCGCATGCCGCCTTCAACTTCGCCGCCGTGCTCGAGTGCCCAGTCATTTTCTTCTGCAGAAACAACGGCTACGCCATCTCTACACCCACTCATGAGCAATACCGGGGTGTGTTTCTGTGACATTTTTTTTTTTTCAAGAGGACGTTGACCTTTTTAAAAAAAAATTTAAAAGACTTACTGACGTGTCGATGATGTGCCAAAAGTAATTTGTTATCTCAGAGAAATGCGATGTAGAGAGAATCCACATGTAATACCAAATTATGCGCTCAAAAAATTACCGCACTCCCCTGCCCCCCTTCGAATTTGAATGAAAGCTTTCATTTATTTATTTTTTTGTATGTGAAAAAAACATCTAATCAAATGAATTGAAATTTCTGTCGATAGGTGACGGGATTGCTGGACACGGCCCTGGGTACGGAGTGGCGTCCATCAGGGTGGACGGCAACGACGTGTTTGCAGTGTACAATGCCACCAAGGCTGCCAGACACCTGGCCCTGTCCGAGTCCCGCCCCGTGATCCTGGAGGCCATGACCTACAGGATTGGCCATCATTCCACCTCTGACGATTCGTCGGCGTATCGCTCAGTGGACGAAGTCCGGTATTGGGACGAGAATGATCATCCCATCTCCAGACTCAGATACTACATGTCTAGGAATGGTTTGTATTCACCTTGTTTTATTATTTTCCATCTGAACAAAGTGTGTCCTGATTTCTGCCCATACGAAGAAAAACAAAAACAAAAAGGAAAGTGTATTGGCAAATTTTGAAGCATTTATTATTGTTGAAACTCTTCGAGTAGAACTTGAGGGCACCAGCAAAAAATTCGAGTTGGGGAAATGAGCGTTTTTGTTGAGGAAAAGAAAGAAGAACAACGGGACATTTTAATTGGTGATATTCTGGGCCTTGAATTACTTTTTAAATGAGTTGACAGGATGCTTAACTTGAAGGTTTATTTGTACAATTTGTCTTTCCCTTATTTTTTTTAAACATTTTAAGTTAAATTTTTATTGAGTTTCTCTTTCTTGTGTCAATAAAATAAAAGCCAAAAGGCAACCAGCAAATTTTAGTTTTGGAGTTTTGAGGGAAGAAATTCTTCAAGTTTTTAATGCACTGTTTCCAAGGGATTTCAGACATGGACGTGAAACAAGTTTGCCTTAGGGAGGTTTGAGTTATTTGACACAATTTTTTTTATTCCAATTTGTAAGGATTTCTTGGATCTGGTGTTTCATAAATTTTAATCTGGCAAGTTTTTCTTCAGAAAATTGGTATTCGTAAATTTTTAAAACCATTGATGATTACTGGGCAGCACAGTTACCATTGGGGAAATCTTTGTAAACATCATCATCAACTCTGGAACCATGGCAGTACTGAATTGAAGAACCATATTTATAGAAGTACTGTAATTTTTATTTTCTAAATTGATAGGAAAAACAAGGCTGGGCATCATAGACAGAGATACATTCCCAAACATTTTTTTTAGTGTGATACTTGATTCTAATGGGACATTTTGGACCAATTTAAAAAAAAAGAGTTTCAAGCAAAATGCTTGAACGTGTCCAATAGGCTGCCAGACACCTGGCCCTGTCCGAGTCCCGCCCCGTGATCCTGGAGGCCATGACCTACAGGATTGGCCATCATTCCACCTCTGACGATTCGTCGGCGTATCGCTCAGTGGACGAAGTCCGGTACTGGGACGAGAATGATCATCCCATCTCCAGACTCAGATACTACATGTCTAGGAATGGTTTGTATTCAAGTTGTTTTATTTTTTTCCATCTGAACAAAGTGTGTCCTGATTTCTGCCCATACGAAGCAAAAAAAAAAACAAAAAGGAGAGTGTATTGGCAAATTTTGAAGCATTTATTATTGTTGAACCTCTTTGAGTTGAACTTGAGGAGACCAGCAAACAAATTCGAGTTGGGGAAATAAGCGTTTTTTGTTGAGGAAAATGAAGAAGAATAACGGGACATTTTAATTGGTGATATTCTGGGCCTGGAATTACTTTTTAAATGAGTTGACAGGATGCTGAACTTGAAGGCAAGGGATTTATTCCCTTCTTTTTTAAACATTTCAAGATACTGTACATTTTTATTGGGTTTCTTTTTCTTGTGTCAATAAAATAAAAGCCAAAAGGCCACCAGAAAATTTTATTTTTGGAGTTTTGAGGGAAGAAAGTCTTCAAGTTTCCAAGGAATTTTGGACATGGACTTGGAACAAGTTTGCCTTAGGGAGGTTTGAGTTATTTGACACAAGTTTTTTTATGCCAATTTGTAAAGATTTCTTTGATCTGGTGTTTCATAAATTTTAATTTGGCAATTTTCTTCTGAAAATTGGTATTCGTAAATTTTTTAAACCATTGATGATTACTGGGCAGCACAGTGACCTTTGGGAAAATTTTTAAACATCATTAAATCTGGAACCATGGCATTACTGAATTGAAGAACCATATTTATAGAAGTACTGTAATTTTTATTTTCTAAATTGATTGGAAAAACGTCCGACCCGTAGTATCTGTCTCTATGTAAGGGTTTGTAAAAAAAATCACACTATGAACTAAGATTACCCTGTAAAACCTGGTTAAATTTTTTTTTCTCAAAGTTCGTTTTACGAACTTGCACAGGTTATTCAACTTTTGTGTTTCTTATTTTTGACATATTGCAGTTTTTCAGTCACTGAAAATGGGATGCGCATCTTACTCAGGGATAGGATTTTATCGAAATTTTAGACCTACGTTTGTTTGTTTCATTGCATAGGATTGGAAGTAAATATGAAACTAAAGTAAAATAAAAAAGTAAAAAATCCCACTGCGTTTGGAAATTGAGCAATATGATTATTCCTGTCTTTTTTTTAACAGGCATGTGGAGTGAGGAGAAGGAGAAGCAATGGAAGGACGAGTCCCGGAAGAAGGTCCTGACGTCCTTCGCAGCAGCGGAAGCCAGGACGAAGCCGTCCATCAGGGAAGTCTTCACCGACGTCTTCCACGACGTGCCTCCGCATTTGGAGAAGCAGTGGCAACAGTGTCAGCAACACTTGAGCAAATACTCGGAACACTATCCGATGAAGGACTTCAAGCAGTGAAAAGGAAAAAAAAATGTTTCCTTTTTTTCACCAGGCTGCTTTTTCGTCTCGGTTCGTGAGCCCGGTTGGTTTTTTTTTTTTTTCGTTATAGCAGGCTGTTTTTAATTCAATTTTATTTTTCTGGCAAAGGTTTTTCCTCGTGGGTTGTTCAGTTCAGTTCAGTGGAAATGAGGACGAGCTTTTTTTTGAGGAGTGTGCAATATGTGTTGGTTGGAAATTAAATGAAGATTTTGATCTGTTATCATTATTTTATTTAAAGATCAGAGCCAAACAAGCATTGGAACGTGGAAAATCACACCGTTGGTAGAAACAAAATTCTTTTTCTTCATTTCTTTCTCATTTTTCTCTTTAAATCAATCACAATTTTGAAGAAAAAAAACGCGCTAGTCAGCAGAAGAGACATTTGTATAGACTCAAGTAGTCCATAGCACATTTGTCCCAACATTAGTGGCTACCCAAACCTCTTAAGTATTTTAGAACAGTATCTGTAGGAGGACACCGGTCACTATTCCTTTGCTGGAGGCGCTGAAGGAATTTCTGCATGGAAAGAAAGGCAAAATAAAAAACTTGAGCAATTCTGCTTCACAGCTAGGGGTTACTCAAAAATAAATTCTGTAATTTTGCTTGTTAAATTCTTATTTTTAGAGGATGCGGACTGATGAAAACCTGAGTGAGATTCATTTCCAGCGAATTACTGTGAATTTGTAAAACAAAAGAAGCGTCCCAATGAAAACAAATGAAGCTGAGATGTACTCATGAAAGACCTAATTTAGTTAAGCAACACCTGTTTCTTATTTTTCTTCAAAAATGTCCAAGATTAAAATGAGCAGATTGCGCAGAAAATTGAATCAGCAAAAACCTTGTGTTTGACGCGAGTGTATGCAGTCCAACTAAGTTCAAAGGGAATCCAGTCAATCCATATGCAAAAATCAAAAAGAACTGAAAACTAATTCACCATTTTTTAAGAAATGTCTGTAATTTCTAATGGTATTTAAAAAGAAATAAAAAACCTTGACTTCTCTATTAATGGCTGGATTAACTTTTGGCCTAATTTATCATAAGTTGCATACTGTGAAAAATGTACCTGACAATTTTTTCAAGTGTATCCATCAACAATTGAATTACAGTAATGCACTGTGTGTGGATGTTTGTCTCACATCTTTCAAATTACTGTACCATATTCACTTCAGTACAAGTACCACACACCCTCAAGTAAGATCAAACCTGAATTTTTCACCAGAATTTTTTTTTTTAAATATACCCTGCTTGAAGAATCATTACAGTATATATACTGTATAGCATAAGGCAATACAAATGCATTTTTGGAACCTTGATTCATGCTGCCATTGGAGCCTCTGTTAGACATGGACTGTTTGGACCCATCATGTTCCATGTAAGTACACCCAGTGGAGCCAGAGTCTCTCTGCTGTGAATTATCTTTGGGGTCAAATTTTTCCTGTGGTTTTCTGTGTTGTTGTTCCTTTCTGAACATGGCCTGTTCTAGGACTTGCCAAGCACTCCAAGAAACACTCTGAAACACAATTTTGCATTTTTTAGTGTAATCTCAAACCTTATCTTTTTAAAAAGTTGCTTATATATACCTTGGATTTTGACAGTTCTTGTTTGGTTCTTTTTCTATCAAGGTGCCTCCTGAGGGCTGTTGACACCTTGTCATTGAGGAACACATGAAACAGGAAGATCCAGATTCCCTGCACAACCAAAATCACATGACAAATATTGGGAAAAGCATAGTTCAATCCTCACTATGCACAGGGTGGGCAACAAAAAAGAATCAATTTTAAACTTGAAATAGCTTGGTAGCAAATCAAGCTACAGCAGCAATGGGAACAGCATCAAATGAAAGCTTGTTCCATTCCCTTTCAAATGTTTGATTTTATGGTCCCAACAATTTTAATGAAGACTTTAAATCAATTTCATGCAGCTCCTTCAGCCTGTTGAACATTCAACAGGGAATTGAACACACATTATTATTTTGTGTTTTTTCATTAACACAGCTTGATTAGCTAAACTGAGTTACGGTATTTCAAATAAAAAATTGGTTCATGTTTTTTAGTTCACCTTTTATATACATATATATATTACCTGTGAAGCATTCAGCAGTGTAAACACATAAGCAAAAAGGGGGCTGTGGACAAAGTAGAAATATCCCAAAAGCCAACTCAGTCCAAGGATGCTGGTCAAGGACATGCAGCCCTTCAGAGACAACCTGTATTTGAGTTCATTAAAAAATTGAGATGCAAAGTTTATAAAAAAAAA